ACCTATGATGATCTGTCTAGAACAATATGATAAAAATAAAGACAAAAATGGTGAAAAGGGCAGTCACCAACCCGTAAAATATATATAAGGTCAATAAGAAATAATTTTAAGAGTTATTGTGATAAATGGATTTTCCACTGATTTCGGCATGGAACGTTATATATTGCAAAACATGACATGATACAGAAGAAAATTAATTTTAAAATCAGAAAATAACATTGCAAATGCTTCTTTTGGACAATTCACTAACCCCCATTTAATTCATGTGTCTTGTTTAAAATACAATTCACAAATTAACAGCTGTTTCATCGAAAAGTATTATCCACATGGCCAAAATGTAAACAAATCTGTAGAGGGATCTTTAAAGGCTTCTGGGGCAGAGCCCTAAGGGAATTTACTTCGTTTTTATTTTGATAACTCATCTTCAGACCAAGAACTTTCTTTTGACACCCCTACCAAGTTTCTACGCCCAGCCGTTCTCTCAAATTAGTGGAGACAATGTTTCCAATTTAATTTTTAGATTCCCCCATGTTAATCTTATGGGAGAAAATCCAACTTTGTTGGAAGATTCTGCCCAAACTAATAAAGATATCAAAAAACGAAAAACACTTTGCAAAACTACAGATCAGGGCAATTCTTTTGACACTTTAATCATCAAAATCGGTCCAAAAATGAGGGAGGAGTTCTGTTCACAAAAATCGGCTTAGCGTATTATATATACAGGGTGTTGAAAATGTCTGGAACCAACATTATATCTGGTGAGTGGTTAAAGAAAAAAAAATGATATTTTGTGTACGGATATACTATGGTTTTACCCATCTTTTGGTGCCTTATGAAAATTTTTACCACTTATAGGGAACGTCCTGTGGAGGATGCAGTAATAAGTTTAAATGGAAGCCTATGGTAAATGATACATCATTTTAAAGGCAATTTTTTTCTGAGTAAGGAGCCACAAGTTTCATCTCAAAAGGACCACCCTAGCAAAAATGACGACTGTTTGAAATTTAAATAACCACTTATAGGGAACGTTCTGTGGAGGATGCAGTAAAAGGTTTTCATTGAAGCCTATGGTAAATGATACATCATTTTAAAGGCCATTTTTTTCTGAGTAAGGAGCCACAAGTTTCATCTCAAAAGGACCACCCTAGCGAAAATGGCGATTGTTTGAAATTTAAAAATTCCGTTCCCTATAAGTGGTTTTTAAAATTTCAAACAGTCGCCATTTTTTCTAGGGTGGTCCTTTTGAGATGAAACTTGTGGCTCCTTACTCAGAAAAAAATGACCTTTAAAATGATGTATCATTTACCATAGGCTTCCATTAAAACTTTTTACTGCATCCTCCACAGGACGTTCCCTATAAGTGGTAAAAATTTTCATAAGGCACTAAAAGATAGGTAAAACCATAGTATATCCGTACACAAAATATCAGTTGTTTTCCTTTAACCACTCACGAGATATAATGTTGGTTCCAGACATTTTCAACACCCTGTATAGATAGATGTGAAAGCTTGGTTAATGAAAATATTGGCACCATTATGTACAGAAATAAATTTTCAATTTATATTGTTTGGTTTATGTTTTATTTTCAATCTTTTAATAGATTTGTATTAATTATAAATTTAAATTAATAATACGCAATTAAATTAAACTAATTAAATGAAATGAAAGTAATTTAAATGAGCGGGTCTCATTATCTCCAAAATGCCCCAACTTCTCTCTAAACCACTTTGACTTTAAAAGCTTAAAAAACAAATAATATAGTATATTTGAAGTATTTTTACAGTTATTGGTTGCGGAGAAAATTAAAACAATTGAAGGGCCACGGGGAAAAACGATCAAAGTCCAATTTTTTGACAAAATTAGTTTCCAAGGGAAACCAGTAGCTTAGTATTGATATAAAACATCTGTGATATCATTCGGGCAAAAAAGATCATAGTCACGAAGTTATATAAACAATAAGATAGGGGCTAACGGGCAAGAATGATCATAGTCCTCGCGCCGACGGGCAAGGGGGATCAATGTCCAGTATGCCCCCTCCACTCACAGTCCCATTCCTGCAGCTGTGTTTAGTTGTCTATGTGCAAACATAACCTCATTTCTTTAACCTAAAACTTTTAATATTGTGTGTGGTGTTGGTGTAGGCCTACTTCAGTACTTCAGTTAAAATGTCGAGTGATTTTAGTGGTACAGACAGTGAAGAAGGGACTAGTTTCCGAAGTGATGTGAAGAAAAGGAAGAGTACAGGTAGAATGAAAGACGTGATGAAGAAGCTGCGAGCTTCAACTAATGAATTAGGAGAGGATTGCAAGTGCTTTCGCCATAAATGTTTTAAGGTTATTTCGCCCGAGGAACGGCAGCAAATTATATCTAAATTTAATGCACTGGGTGATTACAACAAGCAGAATCAGTATTTGAGCGGATTAATCAGTGTTATTCCAGTTCAGCGGCGTCGCAACAGAAAGGATGATGCAGAGGCAAGTAATCATGTTTCTTCTTATTCTTATCGTGTACGTGCACGGATCAATGGTAGTGATACATTGCAAGACATTACTGTTTGTCACAAAGGGTTCATAGCCTTGCACGGCATCACAAACCGCCGTGTGCAATCTATTAAGAAACATTTGACTGAATTTGGCAATTTTAAGACAGATGGTCGAGGTAAACACCAAAATAGACCAAATCAATTAAGTGAGGAAACTAGAGTTAAAGTGTTAGATTTCATCAAATCTCTGAAAGGAAGAAAATCTCACTATTCATTAAAAGACACTTCTAAGGTGTATTTACCTGCAGAACTAGATAAAGCCAAACTACACAGAATGTACAACGATTCTAATAAAGAGCACACTATTGGTTTAACAACTTTCCGTGAAATTTTTGATTCCAATTTTAACATTAGCTTTGGATACCCGAGAAAAGATACCTGCAGCAACTGTGACGTATTAAAGTCAGAAATATCTGTGCTAGAAGGAAAAATGCTTAATCCTACTGACGAGGAAACTAGAACATCTTTAGAGAAGGAGTTGCGGATTAAGGAAAAGGAGAAGAAAGTACACTTGGCAAGAAGTGAAAAGTTTTATTCAATAAAGAAAAAGTTTCGTAAAGAATCAAGAAAACATGAAGAACTTGAGGCATTTACTATTGATTACAAAAAAAAATCTACCAACCCCAAATATAACTACATCTGATGTGTACTACCGACGTCAACTGAATTTTATTTCCTTCAATATTCATGTACTGTCAGACTCAACCTCAGTATTTTACACATATGATGAAAGTGTCGCTCGAAAAGGGGCGGATGACGTTTGCTCAATGCTGAAACACTTCTTTGAAAACATTCTGAGCCCAAAAGTAAAGCACATTGTTATTTTCTGCGACTCATGTGGGGGGCAGAATAAAAACTTTACAGTCATACGTTTTCTGCACTACACAGTTCATACACTTAAGCGATTTGAAAGCGTAAAAGTGGTTTTCCCTATAAGGGGTCACTCTTATATGGAGGGGGACAAGGACATGAGTCTTATAAATCCCAAATCTTACACAGAAACACCTGACGACTGGAGGGACGTCATCAGAAATAGTCGAATCAAGCCATCACCTTTCACTGTAGTAAATTGTTCTTCAGAAGTAAAGTTTGAAACTTGGACGGACTATTTATCGGGACTTTATGTTAAAAAATGCCCTATGCCTACAAGACCAATACGGATTTTGAAAATTGAACAAAGTCAGAAAAGATTTGTACTTCACAAGGAAAACTACTTCGGGAGCTATCTAAAGGCGGCTTTCGTTCAAAATCAAGGCACAGAAAAGAAAAAATCAAGAAAGGCTGTAAGTCAAAGTGAACCAAAGATACTGGGGAACCTTTACAACGGTAAACTACCAATCAAACCAGCAAAACTGAAGGATCTTCTTCATTTGAAACAATTTTTGACAAATGCTAATTTTTCGACAGTGGCATTTCACGAGAGAGTCACGAGAGAATAAATGTTTAGTGGATGTGCCGGGGATTGAACCCGTCCCTCCCGCACCGAAGTCCGAGACGCTAACCTAACCACTAGGCTAGCAACACAACCAACTAGTGACCAGCTATTGACTAGCGAGTCTATCTATTTTTATTTATTTTACATTCCAACGGACAAACTCCATTTTTACATTCTTAATTACAACAAGACAAGATGGAAAAAATATTTAATAACAATAATAGCATTGGCTCTGGCCTTAGTGAAAATACATGCATTTAGATATAAAGAATGTACATAATGATTCAAATTGTACATAAATAACATAAATAATAAATAGATAGTGAAATATACAAAAATAACAATACAAATAGACTACTATTTACAAAACAACAGCCTTGCCAAGAAAGTCCCTGCATTTTGATATAAATAGTGTACATAATGATTTGAAATATAATGGCCCTTCTGAGACTGCGGTCTCAGCAATTCCTTCGAAGTTGTGAGTCACGATCTGCTATGGCTAAAAAGCAAAGCAAAGAAAGTATGGAGTTGGAGGAGCTGTACTCGACACCTTGTCCTGCTACATGGCCGACCCGACCGCAAGCAGGTTGCCTCCCTAACGGTGAAATGCCAGCTTGAAATCTGACCAAATTGAAGGGATCCCGTTTGAAACACTATTATATGTTTTTCAGACTTTCTCTGAAGGTACTGTAACCATAGAAAATTAAGAAAACTGTGTACACTGTTCCTTACTTCCTATGGCTGAAACCTGAAACCATTGACTAAGGAAATAAAACTTTATTTCCCTTGTCTGTGCTGAAACGAAACACACCTGTTCACTGTTCTATAATCAGCTGTGAAGAAAAAGTAGTTGTCGAAACAGAATAGCAGAAAGCAGAGAAGCAGAAGAAGAGCGTAGCTAGCAGTTAGCGCAGGCAGAACAGGAACAGAATAGAAAGAAAAGAAACAGAATCATAGTTCGCACTTCGCAGATGTGGTGAAGTTCGCCGAGGCCGAATGTCAGGAAAACATTTCTCTTCGCTATTCATTTTGTTCGGTTGTCTTGTGAAATTCGATATGCATATTTAATTTGTGGCCAAATTATTTTTACTTACCAGTATGACCGATAATTCGGTGGTAGAACAGATCAAGCACTACCAAAAAGATATCATAAAATGTCCTGAAAATTCTAAAAGGGTAAGTTCCTATGTGATCAGAAATTTCTTCGCCCAGCATTTAAACATATTTCACAGAAAGCTGATTTAACTTATCTCTGTTCTCCCATCCTGTTAATTTCAGCAAATGTTAAAAATAATTATTAGTATATATCTTAGCAATCGAATTGCTTGTTAGTTCTATTTCACTTATTATTATAGTAAAAATATTCAATTTAAATCCTTTTCAATGAAGCATGTCAATGTGGCAACTTTCAAGGATAAGTAGGCCTAAGTTAGCTTTTAGCTTAATACTAGTAGCCTACTACTTTCAAATAATTGCTTTTAAGTTAGGGTAGCCTATATAATTTGAATTTTATTTCTCGATGCTCAGCCATGCTATTTGAGCTATGAAACATCATTCATGTAGATGATTGATGTTTAACCTTATTTTACAAGTTCTTAATATTTGATTAAGAATATTATGTTTGGCTTAACTTAGTTGGTTATTAAATCTTTCTCAAGAGAATGTCAAACCCAAAATGTTTTAACCAACAATAGATTAGGGCAAGTCATTCAGATAACTTTTTTTTAAACTTTTACTAAACTTAGGTTACCCTAACTTGTAAATTTGTATAGGCTATATATTAATTGTAAATAGTTTGACTCTGTCTATCCAGCAAGAGCTGGTCATGGACGTCGAGGGAGGTAAGTTAACTCAGGTAATTTAGGCTATTCCTTGTCTCAAATTTTCTCTTCATGGTGATAACTAATTTTCTTTGTCATAACTTAAGTCAATCGATTTTACTTCTCCTGGGTACACTTCCATATCTGTTGGCACAAACAACCAAATGAGTAATATTGATAATTCGGTTGTTTAATTCGATATATTGATCAATATTTTCATTCGGTTTTTGTGTCAACGGTATTTCTGAACTTTCTAGACTTTTCTTTTAAACGTTTTTAAATTATTCCTACAATCTTAATAAACAATAAAATACCTTTAAAACATTTTTTAAGGCGCAAAATTCACTGCGAAAATATACGGAACTACTTTCTCAATGCGCGGAGCATATCGCACGTCAAGAAACAAGGAGCAGAGTGATACGGACCGGTGACTACTTATTTATTTTATTTTATTTTTACCTTCCAACGGTCAAGAACCAATTTACAATATGTTGTATAGATGACTTAATTTAACTCAAACATATACATACAAAAATAATTTTTGACAATGACATGCAGTACGGTAACTTAAGTAAATACAATTTGAGCAGTATCAAAATAGACTTACACAAAGCAGAACTTTAAATAACAACCAATGAACAAGAACAACAAACAAGAACAGTAAGTGAAAATATAAATGAACGACAAACAATAAATATATGAGTTTCAACAATAACAATAAATATACTATGAGTTTTAACAATAACAATAATATATGAATTTCAACAATAACAGTAGGCCTAAATATAATTTCAACAATAACAAAGAAAACAAGATTTTTAAAAAGAGAGAAACATTCATTGGTTTGAAACAAATATAATAACAGTAATTTTGGGTGGTAACTATGATGAGCGGTGGAAGTCAGCCAGTACCCTCTTCCGGATTGTTTTTTGGCTGTCTGTGAAGATGTCAAAAGTGGCACAGAAGACATTCCCATTTCGAAGCATCCTTACAAGGGGTCCATGGTACAGGTATCCACGTGCATAGTGCCTCCTTCCGAATAGGTCCTGGGATCTTGTACCAGATGGAACACGAATGTCCACTTCAGACAGCAAGGCAGGACAATCAATCAACCCGGTTACGAGATTGGAGAGGAAGACCATATCAGATGCACAGCGCCTCGCCCGAAGATCCTGGAGATTTAGGTTTTCCTGCATTAGAGCCACAGGCACATCCCGATACTGTAGACTTACTCTTGCACCTATTTGTGTTGCCAGCTGATTAGAAATAAGAATTAAATAAGCGATATATCGAACCGCATCGAAATTGATATTTAATACCTCACAGGTTATATTTTGAATTACATTGACGGTAAGTTACAGTAAGTTATTAGCCTACACATTAATAAAACACAGATTGAACACTGATCTAGTTTAGGCATGTGGGGAAGGTAGGTCGGGGTTTATGAGTATTCGTGGCTCCATTAAGTGTTTTGAAGTAAGGTTAGATTAGGAAGGTAATGTGTAGGTTATAGGTAATCGAGTTGTTTATTTGTGTTGCACCATATTGTTTTTTATCTTTTAGAATCGTTTCCCCGTTTAAGCAACTACCTATTCAAAGGACTTAATGGAGCCACAAACTCTCATAAACCACGACCTGCCTTCCCCACATGCCTTTTCTGCTGTAAAACCAATTTATGTAACCATACAGCACGTTTGTTAGGTTAGGTTGCTTTAGAATAGTTTCATTTTATCAGTCAGTTGGTAACACAAACCATTCTAGGAGCCCAAGAGTAAGTAGTCACCAGTCTGTATCACTCCGATCCTCGTTCCTCGGCAAGCGATGTGCTCCGCGACTTGAGAAAATAGTTCCGTATATTTTTGTAATTTGCAGTGGTTTCCGCGCCTTATAAAAATGCTTTAAAGGTTTATCAATATCGTAGGAATAATTTTAAAAGTTTTAAAGAAAATTCCAGAAAGTTCAGATTTACCGTGGCAACAGATATGGAAGTGTACCCCTGTCCCCTTCTCCTTGCTTAAATGAATTGTTACAAAGTTGCAGTAGCCTTATAATTTCTTCCTGATGATTAACGTCAAGGATTGAATTAAAATCTAAGATTTGTGTGATGAAAGCCTGAGTAAAATTTTCGGATGGCTGTTTCTGAAAGCAAATAACGTAGGCTAACTTATTGGCCAAGGCCTTAACTTATTAATGATGTAATGCAATTTTATCCACTTTATGATAAGTTAGTCTTTAAGATGCAGTGTCTTATAGCCTATAGCCGATAACTTAACTTATTAGGCTACCTACATCAGCTTACCAACTTAAATATGTTAGTCAGGTTCAAGTGTAAGAAATTTGCCTGGATAAATAACGATTTTTTCATTTCATGGGTACAGTTTCGTAACTGGGCTACGCCAATATGTAATGTCGATATTGTAGCACAACGGATTGAGTTATCAAATAATTAAATAACTTACGTCATCAATCCATAAATTTCTGTGGAGTACGCGTTTCAACCATCAGGTCATCCTCAGCTCCACTGTCATATTGTAGACATATTGTAGCCGCAAACCTGAGCCCGTCCAGCCGTGCGCACGGTGTTATATAATAGTATTTCGTTACCTAAATCTTTCGTACGTGTCGTGTATGTGTTGTTAATGTAAAATGTGTTTGGACTATTTATTTAAATCGACGCTGTTGCTACAAAGCAACATAGAAACAGATTCAACCTAGTGACAGTGGAGCTGAGGATGACCTGTTGGTTGAAACGCGTACTCCACAGAAATTTATGGATTGATGACGTAAGTTATTTAATTACGCCAATATGGATTGAAAATATCGATTAGTAAACCTTCATTTGATTTTTTATTCATCAGCAAGTTTGTTCAGTTAGGTTAGTTATTAACAGTTTCATTTTATAATTATATAAACTTAGTTTAAAAAATCTAATGAAGTTTTACTAGGTAATCAAATCAATATTTTCAATCGATATTAGCTTAGCCTAGTTAAGATACTGTAGACTACCCATTGTTATATCAAGGCTAACTTAAATAGGTATGCATTTTCAATTTTTAATTCAAATACGGTATTACAATTAAATTGCATATATAACTTAGGTAAGTTAGGCACTTATAGGTTTTCAAAACAACTGGCTACAGAATATACAAATGAGTACCGGTAGGCATAAATCTGTTTTAAACACTGATATCTCAATGAATAGCTAACTTACTTCGCCTTGCTAAAAGGAAAAAGTTTTTGCAGTAAGTAGGCCTATGTTGGTATAGGCCCTAATATGCAGTATTTTTGTTATAGTCTGGTTAAGTTATATAATTGTAATACCGTTACTTTTCAGTCTGGTCTAAGTTTTGCACATGGGGATAAAAAAAAAATAAATAAAAGCGAGCTATTAGCGCTTAGAGATGTAAGTTTTTAGCATGTAAAATAAACCTTAAGAGTCCATTTCATGATTATGATTTCTCTTTACGTAGACTTCCTTACCGTAAGGAATTAAACAGGTCAGGGTAATTACTTTATTTGTCTCAGTGACTTACTGCTGGCCGGAACTCTAATAATTTCTTCTTGAGAATATATTAAGTTACAACAGTTTGTATGATACACAGCAAATTTTGTTTTGAGTTTTTGAACATTAGTAATTTTATCTGATTTTATAGATTTATTTTATTCATAGAGTTTTTCCATTATTTTTAGATGATCCGTTGCATTGAGCGACTAATGGTACTACCTGTGACCATCTCTCACCTACAAGAGACAGGTGTCGGTCGTTCTGTCAATGAGTTACGCAAGTGTGGAGGAGAGGTCGGAGCTGCTGCTAATGCTCTGGTCTGTAAATGGAAAAGCATGGTGCAAGCAGAAGAAGATAGTGATGCAGAGTCAGAAGTTGAAGAAGATGTGCCCAAAGAAACTGTGCGAGTTTCCTCACCTGATGTAAGAAACAGCCCTTCAGTAAAAAATGATTCGGTTGATAAACACAAGAAACCCCAAATCAGTGAAGAGAACAAGAAGCAAAAAACAGACCATAGTAGTAAAAAAAGACAATCTTCTCATTCAGAAAGCAGAAGTTCTGAAAAAACACTTGCTGAAAAACATGATCATAAGTCACACCGAAATAAAATGTCAAGGTCAGAACATGGATCAGAATCTGACTCTAAACATAGTTCGAGTCATAGATCTAAATCTGACCATGGTTCAAGATCCAATAATAGCCGTAGATCAGAGTCCCAATACAACGGAGATTCTAAGACTGAAAGGCGAACTTCCAAGTCAATAAATAGTGATAATAAATCTAGTAAGTCCACTTCAATAGAAAGTAAAAATGATGATATTAAACAAAATAATTACAAAGAAAAAAGAAGAAAAGAAGATAGTGGAAGTCGGAGCGAAAAGGAAAACAGGAGAAAAGACGAGAGGTCTCATTCAAGTAGTAGCTCGAAGAAGTACGATGCAAGGAGGATTGAGTCTGAATCCAGTGATGATGACAGTGTTTATAAGCCTAGAAATAAAAAAAGGAAAAAGTCGGATTCTGAAGAAGACAGGAAATCAGAAACTGAAAGCAGGGGAAGGTCAGAGTCAGAAGAAGATATTAAGCCTAGTGACAAATTTAGTGGTCGTAGTAAACATAGAGAATTTATAAAACGTGAGAGTTCAGAAAAAAGTGACGCAGAAAATGATTCTGAAGAAGAAGAAAAGAGTCCTAGTAGCGTACATTCATTTCCTCAAAATATATCAGACAATGATGAGGAAATGTCTAACAGAAGCAGCCCTAACAACAAAGGCTTAAGTGACAACGAGGTTGAAAGTGAAGGTAGGAAAAGCTCCTCAAGATGTGAGGACAATGAAGAAAGTAATTCTGACAAAGATAGTGATTCCGATGAAAAGTTATATTCCCCCGAGAGAGAAATTTATGTTCCAACCAAAATTAAAAGGGAAAAAGAAAGTCCACCAAGGCATTCTAAGTCTTTAAGTCCACAAAGGCATTCTAAATCTTCTAGTGATAAATATAAATCAAGTCATTCAAAATCTAGCCATAGCTTATCTCACAAATCCAGTAGCCACAGTTCATCACATAAATCGGATAGTCGGTCTACAAATGGAAAAATATCTAGTAATAAAAAAGAGGGAAATGAGCATGTTAAAATCAAGAAGGAAAAAGAAGAAAGTGATAATTTAAAGAAGCGTAAAGAAGAAAAGTCTAGTGAAAGCAAAACTCATAGGTCAAGTAATTCACATTCAGATCCGAATGAAGGAAGCAGTTCTAACAAAGCTGAGAAAAAGGCCAAGATTAAAGTAGAAAAACAAGATGATGGCAGTATTGACTGTGTGTCTGGTAAGTAAACTTCATAGGTCTTACAATTTCAATTTTTCAACATATAATTCTGGTAATTACTGGCTCTAATTTTCATTAGTCAGGGATGCACAGGTGCGTAGTTTACTGAATATAAGTTATGAGTTAGTGTGGAATGGAGTGAGATGGTAGGCCTATGTGTTACAATTGTAAGTAGGCGTAACTACATTTTTTATTACTGGGTATTATCATAGACTAAGCAACACAAGTAGACTCCTCATCCCATTGTAAATTTTGAAGCTTGTTTTTTGCGTCTAGTTCATGTACGTCCACACTGATCGCTAGTGTAGACAACATTTTGTTTCTATTATTTTAGGGTTATTTTCATGATTTGTGCTTTACTATTTGGTTATATAACTAGGAGACCAGTTATTGTTTATGATTATATTGTTTTATTAGGTTAAACGAGGTTTTAAATTACTGAAATAACAAGAAACAAATTGTAAACAAAACATAACCTCTACAGTTGGACGTACAGAACTAACAATAAAATTGGCTTCAGCTGTTCTATTAGGATGACTAATCTACTAAGGGAGTATGTTTTATCTATGGTATTATCGTGCAATCACTTAGTCTAAATAGTTTACAGAAATAGTACGAATCCAAATTGGTAGACGGTGTCTGTGTCACTTTACAAATTCCAGGGCATAGTATAAACCAATGAAATTCTCTTTTAAAATTAGGCAATTTACCTACTGAAAATATTAAAATACAATCTTTTGAAGATATAATTTGATGTGTTTGTACTTTATCTTTGAACTTTTCCAGGTGCAAGTTTTGCTGATGCACTAATGGGATTGTCTGAACTGAAGAAAAAACAGTCACTAAAGAGAAAGTCCACACCATCCTCACCGGAAAAGCGATCTCGGCCTACTGAGAAATCAAGTGATGAGAAGTCGAAAATCTCTATCAAGTCTGAAACTCGCACTTCTACTTCATCGTTATCATCCTCAAGTAGCAAGACGAGCTTCAAAGAGGTATGATTCTTAACTTATACAGACATTTAGCAAAACTTAGTTAACAATATTACTTAAGGATAAATTTAGTAAGCTTTAGGCCTACTAATACATTTTGCAAAATTGCCAAACCAGTGTTAACCGTTGGATTGTTATATTCAATCAAACCACCGTTTTTATTTGAAAAAATGTATGCCGTATTAAAACTCTCATTGGAGGCCATTATAGAGTAAAACATGACCATTGTAGGTTAAATTATGATGTACATACTTGCAAGACCACCAAACTATTTTGTGTCTGGTCACTGACATTTTCGGCTAATTGTATTAAGTGTGCTAACTATTGTTTCATAGATTTCCTAACAACGTCCAGACAGCTTACATTTGTTTGTTCAAGCCTTATAGGATCAACCATCTGGGTGCAAAGATTCTGAGTCTTTTCACTTTTATTGTAGCAATTTAGGAGATCCTACACTCATTTTTCCAAGAAGCTGTTTCTGTTTACTTTGAATCCAAATACAAACCGTATAGCACACTTCTGAAGTCTTCCGCTGCAAGATTCAATTTGGGTCAAGTTACATTAGGATGTCAAGTCATTATTTGGGTCAGATTTTGTTAGGTTTGTTAATTTCATTTGATTATTTTTTTAAATGCATATCAATTAACCATTTTAACCTAACATGATATTACCATTTGCAGAAGCAGTAAGGGGCAGCTGACAGATTTTTACTTTAACAGTAGTTGTCTCAAAAAACTACTGATTACTTACATTTATTAATTACTTATTTAATAATCTAAAGCCTAAGTAGGTCTATTTACCTTGCTGTGTTAGCCTACTTGAACTGCAACTGTGACTACAGTAGCAGCAACAGGAAACGCAAGAGTACAAAACCCTTTAACGAGAAAACACTAACACACATCCAAGGCGTTTCTGCACGCAGACAGTCATATTTTAAATGTTCAGTCAGACCTCGGGCACGTAATACAAAATTGTATATATGAAGTGGAGGTAAATACAATACAATTAACCAACCCCAATTGACCATTTTAGCCTGATCTGCTGTCAAAGAATATAAAGTTGGAACCTCTTGATGTGGATCTCAAATCCACCTTGCCGGAGATATCTCCGCACTACAAGCCCCTCCCCCACTACTCCCCTCCCGACAGTCCGGCTGGGAAACGCAACAAACAGCTCACTCAAGAGGAGGCCCTCAGTACGATCATGTCCAACAAAAACCAGAGGTAAGATAATAGGATTTGTAGTTTTGTTAGTGTACAACACATACCTATTAATTTTGCAAATTTTTTGCTGGTTTTAATTGTAAATTTTTAGTTGATTTAGCCTACATAATAATAGTGTTGTTTGTACCATTAATAATATTGTTTTTGGTGTAATAGTAAATCATTTGTTGCATAGAAATTACAATAAATGAATGATTATGTAATAATACTACATATAATAATAATATTTAGGAATCAACTTAAATATTGGTGATGGTGGGAAATCTTCATGGACGTTGCCATGATCGCTTGAGATATCACAAACTTTGCCGGAATTTCAGGAAATCATCACGGATTATGCTGTGATTGCATGAGATGTTCGCAACATTTCTGCTAGTACAGTTTTACCAGTTTTGAGAGTCAGTCGTAAATTTAGAAGAAATAGGTATAACAAATTATTGTAAATAACCACTGAGAAGTAAGGAACAGAAGAGAGATTCAATGGTACATTTGAGTGGTGTCTAGCACTAGAGTGCTGGTGACTAGGGCAAAGTTCCGAACCCCCCCTCACCACCCTCACCCTCATGTACTACAACGCTCATTGTGGAGGAAGACCCCAAGCCTTGCGCGATATGAATTTCCCCACAGTGCTCGCCATTCGGGTTCTTCCTTGCTCGTCACAAGTACATTTCCGCCCCAACATATTAGAGCTGAAAGCACTGTTGTCCCATAAGCATGAATCCACTGTTCCTTACTGCTCTGTGAAATAAGGGTGCAGACATAAGTTCATAATATGTTCTTGTTGTGTATTTACATTTTAATGTATTCATGATTGAGACTAGTTTTTACTCATTAAGTTTATACTTAAATTAATTAAGTTCTCAAAAGCTACTGTTGATGCAAGGACACTCTAAGGCAAGGATAAAACCTACCTTTGGCATAGGTTGAATATTAAAATTGAATAAAAAATTACCATGCCAAGACTGTTATGTAAATATTTTTTACTATTGTAGAAAGAAATTAAATAATCACCAAATGAACAAAAATATGGTATTTAGGGTGATAGTGACTATAATACTATAACAATGAATATTAATACTTTACATACACTTATTTTTATTTTGTATTGTAGAGATAGACCTACTAATTTGTTTAGTTAAATTTTTTAAATTTCAGAACTAAGGGGCCCCCCTCTGATAGGTAGTTTATATTAAGCCCCGGGGCAGCATCTAAAGCCGGCTCTAAGTAAACATTAAAATAAGTCAAATAAATATCAAAATTGTAATTATTAAATGTATGTTTTAATTACAGGACAAAAGTGTTTTCTGGCAGTAAATCAGGATATTTGAAGGTCCCTTCGCTGTTTGACTTGTGTATACAAGTTTTAAGAGACAATATTGAAGGTAAGATAATTATTTTATAATTTGTCGACGTCATGTTAAAAAAGATATTAGACTACACTGTGAACTTATTATTAACGAATATTGTTATTTTATTGAGAAGTATTATGAGCTAGGCTACTGTATTGGTTTTTGTGATGGTTGTATTAACAGTTATCAAATTATGAGTTCAAAACTTCCAAAATCAAACTTCAATTTTAAAATATTTAACTAGTGTTATTATTTTATTTAAGGCTATAAGGGCAATAAATAATTAAATAGCTCTGAAATGAGCAAAACTATGGACTAACAATTAATTTTAACCTTTGCAAAAACAAGTAAATCTTGTAAAAGTTACACAACAGGCCAATATTAAAACACCCACATAGTATAAGAACCAGTCCATCTAAGCCCTGTTTCAAAGTCCTTTAACATTGAAATTTTTGAATAATTAAAGATTGGAAGGAGAAAATGGAAATGTGAGCAAAAGGTTTAATCATTGACTAGTGGTACAGTATCTTATTAGTCAATGGTTTAATGTAAAGTGTAATTTAGAGGCAACAAATCTGGCCTTGAAGAAGTAAAAACTCAATTGGATAGGTTGAAAGCGTTATGGTAAACACATTTAAAGGATTAGTTTTGTCACATCACGTAATGCTACAAAGTGGTTCAGGGAGCGCCTGTAGCACAGTAGACACTCACTAATTTGGCACGTTAAGGACTTTTGTAGTGCTTAAACACCTGAATTGCTGGATTGCTCAGTCTAAGAATAGACGTTGCTAAAAAAGCAGAAATGCTGCTAAAATCAAGAATCAAAGATATTACTCTACTATTTTCCTATGAATTGTGATTGCTCAGTTTGCAAGACCTTGTGTCTCAAAACTATTTAAGATTGGTGAACTCTGCCAAATGTGTCCAGAAGGCTTACTTAGAAAAAACCTTACACTGATTCGGGCTTTTTGAATGTTGCTGGAACTGAGAAGGTTTTCTTATAGATTTTCACAAATGACAGTTTTAATTTTGCGTTTGCAGCACTGGAGTACACTGGAGGTGTTCCTTACGACCTGTTGAAGCCTGTCCTAGACAGAGCCACAGCCTCCCAGCTGTTCCAGTTAGAGCACTACAACCCCTACCTGGTGGAGGATACGGACGGCTTGTGGAAGTTCCATTGCAACAAGGACTTCCGCGGCAAGGAACCCGACGAGTTTGAGACTTGGCGAGAGTTGTATGTGGTGAGTTTACTTTCAAATTTTTTCCTTTTAATTTTGCTGCCAAGTTTTTTGTTTCACCTTAGCTTATAGACTGGTGTTCACTTCGGGAATTTTGTTTTATCGTTTGTGTACAACGCCAGTAGCTTTTTAGATTATTTTATATGTAACTGTTCACATTTTGATTTTATTACTTCCTGATTTTCAGGATGAAACAAAATGTTTCCCGGTGTATAAAGAGGGTTTGTTTTTAGAATCTTGAGTAAAAATTCTTGCAGGTAACAATAATGACAAACAATTCAATCCCAATATTAAAGACGTTATTGTCACTCGCGACTTGGCAAAATGTATGACAAATCTAGAACTTTTATTCGCCAAAGTAAACCGGGAAAATAAGACTAATAATGTAAGGGTATACTGCAGTACTTACGCCTGTCAATACTTATTTTTATTTTTATTTTTTTTTATCTCGCTTGTTGCGAGTCGCATCCACGCCTTATGCTCTCCGCTGTAGGGTCTTGGGAGAGGGTGTTTAGCGAACGTACGCTCGCCGTCAACTGTCCTAATTATCCTCTACTTCTACTGTCCACCGGTCTCAGCGCCCCCACCATCGCTATGTCAGCGCCCCGAGGTCGCGGCGGCCAAGTCACGAACTAGGACACTTGGACAAGTGGACAACTGGACATGTTTACTTCCGATTATTTTTGTCGAGCGCGCTCGAGCACTTCACGGCCTTAAAATAATTAAAACGAACCCCCTAATAAAATTTGACCATTACATCAGAACAAATCCCATAACGAGAAAATCTGAAATCAAATGTTATTCCGTCCCTTGGATGATGCTTGGAAATATATTGTTCCCGAAAATATCACAAAATTTCAGGACTATGTGATCCCTAATTACTATCTAATTCGTTTAGAAAAACCTACTGGTTAGAAATTTGCCTCACTTATCAGATCTACTCGTTGATATCTCAATTTAACAATGGTTTTAAAGTATTTTAATAAGTTTTTACAAAAATTAAAATTGTATTAACTTTTTTGTTTGCAAATTTAAATGTTATCTTTGAAGACTTATCTGCTTTTCTACAAAAATTAAAATAGTTAGGATAGTCAGAATTGCGCATATGACTAACAAATAAACAAAGTGTGAACATCTCCCCATATTATATTATTTACCTCCTGCAATCGTCCTAAAAAAATATTTATTAGCATGTCTATACAGTAAGTTACAGTCAGCCATGTTTGAGCTGTTGTGTGTTGTTTCAGCGACTGCTTGACGAGAGGGAGAGGAAGCTAGAGGCTCTGAAGGCAAACATAACACAGTCAATGGCCAAGAGCACTCCTGTGAGGCAGACCAAGCTGGCCTACGTCGACAGTGTAGTCAAACCTCCGAGGAACATTGCTAAGAAACAGGTTTGTCTTAGTTGCATACCTATCTGACAGAAACCCAAATCACAAGAGGTACTGCTCTTGTGGTCCGTGGTTTTACACCTTTCACCGATAGTTTTACTATGTGATAATGCTGTGACTCGGTACTTCAAAGCACAACTTAGAATGAAGGTTGTTAGTCTCTTATCTATCTGGAAATTTATATGTATTTCGGGCAGAAAGAACTTTGTTTGTATTAGAAAATTGCCTTTTCTTAAAACCATGCAAAATGATGATGATGATGGTTGTTTATTCACCAAATTCTCACTACTCCTAATTTATTTATTGTTAGTAAAATATAGAATTTTGGTGTATGAGGTACGTGAGGGAGCAGTACAGTAAAACCTCGATTATCTGGGGTAGTTGGGGGGAGGGAGAATACAGATAACCGAGAACCACAGTTAACGGAATGTTATACAAAAAAACAACCTTAAAATGCCGTAGTAACATATAAATTAGACATTAATGTCATACTTTGGATTTTTACATAAACAAAACTCAATATTATGCAATCATGATATTTTGAAGTCATTAACCTTGGTTCAGTTTTATAAACGGTCAGTTTAAAAATCACATCTTCCTTAAACTAAAGTATTTCAATAATTTAACATGTAAAGAACAGTTTATTAAGCTGCTAGTGATAGGCTGTAAATGCTGTTTTAGAACTATAATTCAACCACAGCTGTTAAATATAAGCGCACACTACTGTACTGATAATATGTACAAATTCAGCTATTCTAAAATGAGGATGTATTTCAGATGAAGTTCGGCACAGGCAAGGCAGTCAAGCATGAACTCGTATCCAAGGCGATGGTGGGGGCAGCTAGTAGCAACCCCGCACCCGCTGCAGTTCCTGTCCCCGCTCCCCCCGCCTCTGCCAGATCTAGTCACTCCAACGCCTTCCCCATCCCAAATTTCTGTGAGTACCCCATGTAGTTTAGTGGTTATACTACTCACCTTTATATCTGAAGGTTGCTGGTTCGAATTCAAGCAAGATAGATTTTTTTTAACCTGATGCCTTGTCATTGGACTATCAATGATGTTAAATAACCAAAAGTCATCGTTAGTTAACGAGGACTTGAACGGTTCGCTTGCAAAAACAAAAAGACCAACAGTGTGTAAACACAAAAACAGTTATGAATTAAGGATGTTTAGAGCTATTAAAGACTTTTAGGTTAAATAATTGTTTTTAAATTACTCACTAAGCAAGAAAACCTTAAGGAAGAGGGAATGGATACACAACACAATATAGAACCTCAGGATCTCAGGAGAAACTTCCAGACAGTTGACAGTGCACATAAAGTTAACAACACAATGTGTTCAACAACACAAGTTCAACCCTACAATGTGAAGGAAATACGGTATGGTACAGTAGGTCTTTCTCCCTCCAGTTGGCATACAATGCCAGACCGGCTACGTTTCAAGCAGTGCTGCTATCTGTGAGTGTTTTAGCGAATTACGTCGACTCTCGTCGTAATGAAGCACATCACCGCACGTTATTTGCTATTCGCCAGACCGAAGTTTGAAAGCCAATCGCCTGGCACTCGGGTTTGTTCAACATTGCGCCGCACCGGGGCTACGCCTGCCATTGATGGGCTGCAGCGATCGTGTTAAATAATTTTAATATTATTTTAGGTATTGATAGTGTGGAAGATCTTCTACTAAACAGACAACTTAATGAAAATTGTGAAGATGATGTAATTAAAGTACATAATATTTGGCCCAAAACAATAATATTTTGTCAAATTATTGGAGACTGAACTTTACTATTTACAAGATACTATATCTGGATTGAATGTTGACATTTAATGTAGGTGCTGGAAATTTTCCACACATAGCCTATTTCTGTATTTATTTTTCAAAACTCCCAAGTTGATGATACACTCTTACACAAAACCGTTATCCTAAACCTAATTATATTTTTACGATACTAGCCTACTGAATTGATACAATTTTCAATTGGACATAAATTTTAATTCTGCACCTCTCCATGCACGTTTTAAATGTGTAGCTATGATTCTTATTAATTATTCATACTAAGTAAAGTGTACTTAGAAGTTGGAAGATAACATACGCCATGAGATACTCTTATGAATTTTATGGTTATGAATTGTCTTCCAATTTAAGCAAAGTAAGGGTCTGCGGCAGTTTGTCGACCTACTACTATATTATAAATGTAGCTTACTTAATGTTGAGCTTTTTAATAAAAGTGAACACCTACATTTTTTATTTGTAAATTCAGAAAGCCATTGGAACTCAAAAACTGTCATAAGTGTTTCAGGAAGTTATTTGTTTGGAATTTAACCAAGCCTAACTCTTATTTAAACCACAAAAACTCAAGTTTAAAAAAACAAAGTGATTTAAAGCATGTTTCATATGTTTATAAGTTGTTATAGTTTATTGTGTATTTACCAAAATCCTTGATTATAATTCATAATTACAGAACTAAAGTGATCATCTCCCACAATCTCTGTTTACATCAGAAAGATTCATAAAAAATGGATTAAGTTGATCTGGTGCCAATTTGCACATATAAAAAAATTAAGAAAAACCATGTAGGAGGCATTTTCCAAAATCGCACTATTAGAACATTATTCCAAAAAATTCCAAAATCATTCAAATCCAAGATTGGGAATAATGATTTTTACATTCAGTCCTGAAAATACCTAGTTTAAAGCTGAAAATCACGCCTATGACGTTACATTGTCAATATAATAAACTGTTAATATACTAAATCCATGTGTGGAAAGTTAATAAAAATAAAATATAGTAGTATGGCAAACATATTTTTACGTAGGGTACTGCCTTGCTCCTTGCTAACTAGACATTATTACCATAGACGTATGTTTTGCCTATCGTGTTGCTCTGGTGATTAGACGTCCGTTTTTTGCGTTCTATCGACTGACTGAAACTCTTTTCTTTTGTGAGTTAGGAAACAAACTCACCAAACTTCATTTATCAACATACTGAGTTTGAAGTCTTACGTTTTACTGTATCACTTCTCACTAAATGTTAGTGAACGGTGGTTGGTCTTAACCAACCGTTTCACTATTGTCTTGGTACAAAATAGAACATTATACACAAGAGAAATTAAGAATCTGAAGGTAAACTCGTTTTGATCATAAGAGAAATTAGTGAAAGTTGTTAAGGTGTTAAGTAAGTTTTCTCGTTCCTAGCTCATTTTACTTAACCTGATTAATTATAAACTTTCTTTTTTGCAGTGAAAAAGAAAAAAGCTCCCTTAATGCAGAAAACGCTCCAGCTAATGAAGGGTAACCGGTTCAAGAGGTGATAGATTATACAAGTAATTAAAAAAGGCTGAGTATCCGCAGTTTCTGATGTATTTGATTTTCTGTATAGATCGGACGTAGTAGTTGAATGTGTGAGATGACTATTTTTGTAGTCTGATGTAAATATTTTTTATTTATACAACCACTAAAACGGTAGTACCTAGTAATAGTTGGAGCTGGTGGGTTGTTATGAGTATTTTACAATTTTAAATTTTAAAAATTAGCTTTGCTGATTTCCAGTTCCAGGAAATGTTGTGTAAAGATCACATCCGTTTTTAATGCGCTGTAAGTAGTTTGACAAAACATTGTGATTAAATGTGATTCATCACAACTACCGTGTCACCTTATCAGGTGTTTTACTTTGCTTTAAGTCTTTTTTCATGTACCTTATTTATTCTTATTAGTTCACATTTTACATTTTTAGATTGTTAGGACCGAATTTAATAGGTTAAATTTTATGATTAAAATCACAGTCCTGACCAGATTGTTTTAAAAATCCATTTTTACATGGTGGTACATTAGGAATGTCGTAGAAGCAATTGTAGAAGTATTGTATGTAGTAGATAATATGATTTCTTCACATCACAATTGAAGTTTGAACATTTTCAAAAGCAGTGCCTTTATTGGGTAGGTGACAGTAGCTTAATGGATTTTTTGTGACGTTTAAAATCAACACAGGTATAGGAGTGTGCAAATATACATAAACAACTTAGATATGAAACCTGTTTGAAGTGTAAAATTGTGGTATTGGTTATAAAGAGCAACTACGTTTTAAAATATTAATAGAAAGTAAAGTGGTTGATTAAGATTTTTTGGAGAAGATGATAGAGTTTAGCTAGCCTACAAGAACAAGTTAGAATCCAGGGGCTCATAGATACACGAGAAAAAGTCACTAGGTCCTATAGGACTGTTTCTGAGAGTAGGTTGAAAGTCTATGTTGAAATTTAACTTCTCTTCAATCTATTCTCTGAATAAGTCTATATACACACGAGATATCATTGTAATTTTGTATGACTTTTTATTGTCTATCTATTAGCTTCTGGACTCTGACTTTCTCAGGCAGGTTCTTGCTGAACTCCGATCATTGTTATTCTTGGTTTGTTGGTTACTCATCACTAAATTAAAATTATACACAATTACTAAATAATTAGGTACATTTCGAGCTTTCATCAAAACTCATCTTCAGCCTCTGGTAACATCATATCAGGTAAATAAATAAACTATAATTTGTTATGTTTGTTTATAACTTAATACATGTTTGAATTCTTTTAATGATGAGTTTTGATGAAAGCTCGAAATATACCAAATTTTTTTAGTAATTGTGTATAATTTTAATTTAGTGTGAGTAACCAACAAACCAAGAATAACAGTGATAATTTCAACATGAAAAAATATACCGCTATCCACTTCTCCGTAAAATCCAATTTAAAAAAATGTAACTTAAACTTTCTAGAAATTGAAAAAAAAACATGTAGTTTCGATGAGGTATTTGTACACACCATTTTTAGATTTATTTATAGTTTTGCCTGTTTTCAATGATTTCTAGAAACGTTAAATGATGTGATCATTATATTTATTTCAATATTTATGACTTCATTTTAAACAAGTTAGAGGAGATATTTTTAGCGGAAGTGTGAGCCACAGTGAGAATAGACTGATTTGTACCATTTAGTAACCATACTGCACCTTAGATTTGCTTAAGCTTTATAAAAAAGTTTGGTTGCCTGTTTATATATATATATTTTATATGTTCATTGTTGTAATTAGTATCATGAATTGCCCAAACTGCAACAGTTGTGTATAGTTCTGGCTGGAAACCAAAATATACCAAATGTTATGTAGGCTAACCAACTTTTTGGTAATATTGTTTGACTGTACACTATTCTTTTGTAGATTCAAATAGTTTCTTGTCATGAAATACAGTGGGGCCTCAATAACTCAAACCTTGACATCTCGAATTCCTTGATATCTCGATTTTTTTCATAATCTTGAATCTTAGGTAAATTACAATGTTAAAAATAACTTTATTAGTCAAAAGTTTAAAAATTTAACCTTTTAAGTCAAATTTTGACTTATTTGATTATTTGAGTAATCTGTAATACTTAATCCTAATCTCTTAATTTACTCAATCTCAATTACTCAAAGTTTTATCCTATACTGTGCAAGTCAACTGTTTTTTTTTATTTTATTTTTGTTGAGCTGTGAAAATCCATCTTCTTTGTTTATTAAGCTAGTTCTGTTGTGTTTGCCTATTATTTATTGAGATTATTAAGTGCATGTCTGACGTCATGTCGTCAATGTACAATGTTGACACACGACACAAAAGAATAGTGATGTAGTCATTGTATGACAAGGTAATGAAAAAAGTTGAAATCGTTTGGGAATGTCGAATTCCACCTGACATCTCACACCGATGATATTGTAAAACCGGGTAAAGTATGAGCTTGAAAATGGATTGTTTGCAGACATAAGTCCAAAAAATCAATCTCAATGTTCAACATAAATTTACAATTACTATAGAATAAATTAAGTACGGTGTATGTACTAATAATTGTGGTTTTTTTTCATCATACATTTTTTAAATAAACAAAGGAGTTATTCTTTGTTATTATATCGTAGTTTTTCATGTTCTGTTCAAAATCTATATTTCGTAATTGTTAACTTGAATTGTACCATGCAAAAGGTTTGACTTAAGTTCTTCCAAAATTGCAATGCATATTAAATACTGTACTGAGTATTCGCAATAAATTGTTTATCTTGCTGCTACAGTTACTCTTCAGTATGTAGAAATAGCTTGAGCTCTTGATAAAAGCATAGTGTGTAAAATTCGCGTTATGAAAATCGAGACGTAACATCTTAGTTTAGTTCTGAAATTCTATTGCACTTAATTGCACTTCAGTTTCTCGAATTTTTGGTATTACACCTTGTTAACTCAAACCTCCTTGCTTACTCAAAAAACTTGATAACTCTAAATTTTATCTTTACCCCTTCAACTTCGAGATATAGAGGTCCTACTTTTTACTTTGTATGATACTTTTCTAATTTGATTTGATTGTTTCAATTAAAGAAGTGTTTGAAATTAAGGAATACAATACTGTGAAATGCAATTTTTTTCTCTAATTGATATACAAATTCTATGATACTAACGCTCAATTGTAGCCCAGTGGTTTAAATAACTTTGATTAGCTCTGGTTTGGTTTAAAATTATACTTTCTTAATTTCTTATCTACATAAGTACTGCAGAAGAAGCTTTAAAGCTAACAATAAAGCTGTGTTAAACAAATATTGCCAACTGTTGGATGATTTTGATTTAATCTAACTCTGGATAGTTGACAGAACTGTAAATTTAAACTACCAAAAAAGATTGTGTGCAAATTTTAGTGTCTGGTTCTTACTAAGATTGAGTTATTCTGTAAGCTCCTTTGTGATCTTGTGTGCTTGTATAATTTATCACCATGTCAAGTTAGTAAATGCTATTTATTTATGAATCCTCAATAAGTTTGAAACAGAACTGAGTTATGTTTATTTTTTAAAATATTATTTCGAGTAAAGCGCTTGTCATTAAGTAGCTTCCAATTTTACACAGAATGTTTTTAAAGAAAGCTTTAAGATAAACTTTATGTCTCAAGGGCTTAAAAAGTACAGTAAGAATGTTATACAACCTATTTAAAATTTAGTTTTTAGATTCTGTGATATTCACTCAGGAATGAGAGCCTTCAAAAAGTTTATGCATGTAAAAAATTTGTGATTGGCATGTCAAGTCAATGCTGACATTCACTTCCATGTTTTGATTTAAATTAAATAAAATGTGTCGCCTGTAAATCAGTTTACCTTTTAATGACTAATTTTATTACATCAGTGAAAAAATTCTACCATTAAAAAATGGCCTACTTTACTTAAAATAGTAGGAAAGACAATTGTTAATAATGGACCTCTATAATTTGTCATAGTTATAACCATAAGATTCCTAATATCATATTAGATTGATGTATTTAATTTATACCATTATTTTAAAATGTATTGTTTTTGAATGTCTATTTTATAATAAAATAGCAATTTTAATTGAGGTTTTGGTATTTTCCGTGTCCTCTTACAAGATAACTGCACTCAAGTCTTATCATTTGTTTATCTTTGTTATTTGTTAAATTTAACCAATTAATTCATCAGTTTTTGTTATCTGAAGATAATCTATTCAAAAATAGTTAATTCATCATATACTAGTTATCCAGAACAAAGTTTAGTATCATCGACATGATGCGAGTACCTTGACATCAGATACATTCATTCAGTAGATTGTTTTGTAAGCACAAAACTTGGGAAAAGGTCAACAATAACAAGTGACCTTGAGTTCTGCTGATTACAGTTGGACTCAGCAAAAATTGTGAGACCATTAGAATGAACTTGCTCACCATACAGTTTTTTAATGTAGACAGATAATTTGCTGACTTTGAGAATAGCTTCTTACAGTAAAATGTGTTAAATTCAATATTAAAAGGGCTAAATTAATTCTACACAGGGTGTTCAAAAAAGGTAGGGACATAATTTACTTATTGATTCCTCGGGTCAAAATAAAGAGAAAATCAAGAATACATTTTTTCTTTCAAAACCGCTTCCTTAACCAGATATCCGACATTACATTACCATAAAATGGCAATGATTGACTTACAAAATATTGTAACACCAATCTCAAAATTTGTATCTCTTATATTTATAAAATTTATCCTTTTACTCAAACTCCCTGAGAGAAGGCAAGTAACCCACCACAGATAGTAATAGTATGCACATGGATAACAGTTTTTGAGGGTATTTTTCCAAGTTTAAAGTCACTTGTTGTTTAAGCCAAGTAAGGGTTTGGCTTGGGAGCGTTTCATAAACTCCAAATTTCACAAACTCCAACGCTTAAAATATTAAATAAACAGAGTGGTTCATAACCTCCAATTTTCATAAGCTCCAAATCTATAACATACAAATAATCACTGTTTCACAATGTCCAAATTTCACAAACTCCAACGATAAGATACCAAATAAACAGTGCGGTTCATAATGTCCAAATTTCATAACCTCCAACGGTACAGTCTGGGCCAGAAGTCTCTACAGTGGTTGCCACAGTCAGATAGCAGGCACCGTTCGCCAGCGCTCAACTACTGATAATACGTGCATTTTATGATTGAAGACCACTCAGCTGTGTGACTCAAATATGTGTTAGCACACAATGTGCAAATCAAATTTACATTTTTAATACCTTTAATTCAAGCTTTCAGCTGAGTTTCTTAACTGTTCCGTCTCTCAATTAAAAAGTCAATTATTACATTACAAATATCGTAAGAGATTTTTTTACCGATGAAAAATTTTAAAACATATAAATATGTTTTATAAGTATATTTTCTAATAGCTGTTAAAATTTCATAATGATTACATCAGTTGTTTTTTTGTTATGTGTAAAAATAGCCCTTTGTTAGAAAAGTGCCGAAAACCTTGTACTTTATTCATTCAACCCACTAAAAGGATGAGTTTAAACTACATAAAAAGGTAGAAACTAACATACATAAACGCAGAAATACATTTTTATAAGTAGGATTTAACTTATACATCATATTGTAGGTATACTGGTCACGTTTCAATAAAAGCTCATACTCGAGTATTTACACTTTTTTACTCGACAGCAGTCTCGTTTTCTCTTTGCAACTTAATGTGGCTAGTTCAATAATGTTAAAGTTTTGACAAGGTGATAATTTATATTTTGATTGACTTTTCAGTGGAGAGCTAAGCATTGTATACCTTTTATTTACCAATAAAAATGCGTAATCACAAACAGTGGAGTCTTTGACTGTCGTATAAAATATTAAGGTATGAAGTTGTTGTTGTTGTAACGATTATTGCATATTCTATTTAAAAATAGTGTTCAATGTAAATAATTCAACAAGTTATTAGATAGGTACCTTTTAAAGTTTTTAGATTCTATTTAGCAAATTTCCCTATAAGAAAGTACAGTAGCTATTACCGTAGGTGGCATGGTAAGACCTAGGTCCGGGAAAATTGTTATATTTGTATATATATGTGTACAGCTGTCCGTGTGAAAGCATGCATTTTCTAAATTTAAACCGACGACAGTCAGGGATTGCCCTGGTGTCTTAAAATGGTTATTGCGAAAGCAAGACAAAAAGGAAATTTTAGTTTCTTAAATTCAGAGGGTAATTCGGATG